TTATCTGACTGTGTTCATTATTATTCCCCCAATAAATGAAAAAATAATTTATTATTATCTAGAGATTATTAATAATAGGAGGGGAAATGCAGCTCCAGACGAGCTTTGAATGTGGTGATGTCATCACTTCGCATCTGCGTGCTCCTGTTCTCCCCGAGTCCAGACTTTCCTGCGTTCTAGTCAAGAACAGACTTGGCGAGGACACGAGTCCGTACTAACCCAAAAGGGGAGAACCTTGACAGAAGATTATTCATTAATATTTCAAGGCCAAATTGGATCAAATATTAAATAGAAAATATTTTATTTACCTTAGATATCATTCCAATTTATTTATTAATAAATGTCTTTCTGGTAAAACAAAGATATATTTTCTTGCCAATCGGTTGGTAGATGGAGGGGCGGATTCTGGGCTCTGCTTGACTCTGAACCTCAGTTTCTTTTATCAACCAATCAGAGCTTTAATTGGCTTTGAAGTAATTAATAAGTTTTCCCAATTTATTAGTCTATATAAACTTCTGAAATTGAAGTGGGAAAGTTTTCTTTCATTAGTTTTCAGTAAAAAAACAGGAAAAGGTTGGATCGTCTGTGATCTGATGAGAAAATGAGTCTTTTTATTTTACGGTTTAACAATCTGCTTTAAATGCAGCATAATTACAGAAACACTGAGTCTCAGAAGGTTTTGCTGTTACTCTCTAAAATAGAAAGCGCAGTGATAATCCATCTGGCAGCCGTCCCCACATATGTATTAATAATCTCCCATAATGCTTAGGGCCAGGCTTCTACCACCTCCTCGTTTCTTGTGGATTAGCCTCTGCCGTCTTCCCATTTCTCTCCAGTTTTTAGCCGTTTCTGACCCGCCGTCGTCGCGGCGACCCTTCGCTCTAACCGGCTCCGTCAGCTCGGGATGTCAGGAGCAATAAAACCAGTCTCCTCTGTGATTGTTCCTGTCTTATTTTAATATTTTGGGCTTAAATGAAGCTTTTCTGTTCCTGTAATGTGAGATGAGAGCCTGAAAGCTGAAGGTTTTTATCATATTAGATTGTTATACAAAGCTCTGTTCCCCAAAGAGGTGAAGTCATTCCAAGATTACCTCCATTGAGTCAAGATATGAACAGAAATAAGGTGCTCGTTAGGTTTGTTGGAAAACACCTTTAAGAAAAGTAACTAAGAATAGAAGTAGTTCATTAAATCGTACGACAGGAGCCGCAGACGTAGGGAGATGACTTTGTGTTTTCTTGCCGACTAATCAACGACTGTGCAGCAAAGATGTTCAAATTCACAGGGAAAGCATTGGGATTATGTGCTACATTTAACGGATTCACAGGCAGGATGTGAGAAAAGAAAGGAGCGGAGCGGCAAAGAGCTGCTTGTCTTCTTCACTTACAAGATATGTGGAATATAGCAGAAGGGGCCTGGGTGTCTACTGTGGCATTATCCTGCTCTTCCCCGTCATTAGAGAGGAAAGCCTATGATTACTGCCCACCCGGTTTGCTGCCGATGGTTTAGCAACTCTCCAGTGATCCTCCCCATATTGGCTTAGGTTGTTGGACGAGGTGTGATCATCTGAATTGAAACATGAAACAGAATATTTTACTGCAAAGATGGATCTTTAAAAAAGGAATAGTAGGGGACCAGCCAACGACCAGCCAAGGAAAACGGGGAAATTTTGAAAGGCTGCTACTGTACTAAGATGAAATGCATCCATGTCCACATGTGTTCTTATAAAGGTTTTAACATGTTTGGTCCAACAGTACAGCACTTTTATTAAGTGCAAACCCAATAGACCTGTGCAAATTCTCAGTCATCCATGTTACGGCAGAAGATGCCTCTCCAGCAGTCTTTGTCATTCTGTCAGCTCGCTGTAGAGTGAGGACTAACTGGAAAGACTCTAGAGCGAACTGACAGAATAGACGAGACTCCTCCATAGGTGTCGTTTTAAACGCTTATTTTCACAAGTGGAGCATGACGGCTAAAGCTATGAAGTTCTGCTTGATGATTTATGTGTATTAAAGGTTTTATCTGACTTTATTTGGTATCGCTTCAAGTGCAATGGATAGAGGAGCAAAAAGAAAATAATAAAATGGTAGACATGCTGCAAAGGGAAAGAAGGAGATAAGAATGGAGGAGAGGAAACAAAATAACATCCCAGTACAGTAGGGGTGTGCAAAATAATCGTCATAATGATGCATCGTGATTCTAATTTTCGTGATCTACTGCATCGATTCTTGACACCAAGAATCGATTATTAATTTAAAAAAATGCATAAATAAAATTGCATGAACATCAGCCAAAAACAAGTGTAATACAACTTCCAGTTCAGTAGATGTCGATGCGGATGTGTTGACGCACGCTGCCTTGTGTCACAAGCATTTCCGGCCGCAGGATACTGCGCCGAGTCGTTCAAAAACAAAACATGGAGGAGAAAATATTGCAATGCATCGCAATAATTCAAGTATCGTGATGCATCGTGATAGAATCGCATCGTGGCCTGTGAATCGTGATTCGAATCGAATCGGGACTTCTTTGGCAATACCCACCCCTACAGTACAGCGGGGGTAGCAGCGTCTTCTTCTTCTTCTTTAGCTGAGGATCAGAACGCCAAGGTCCCCGCCCTCAACGGCCACACATCACACATTGCACCCGACCCCTTTGGCCCATCCTATAGGTGTCAAGCCCATTGGAAGGGGGACCCATGTTTCCTCTTTGGGCTGTGCCTGGCCGGGCTCCATGGGTAAAATCCTGGCCACCAGGCACTCGCCAGCGTGCCCCACCTCCAGGCCTGGCTCCAGAGTGGGGCCCCGGTGACCCGTGTCCGGGTGAGGGAACACTAGATCCATTGGTTTTACTCATCATATGAGGTCTGTAGGCTGCTCTTTGTCTGGCTAGCCCTGTGACCCGGAAGAGATAAGCGGAGGAAGATGGCTGGACGTTCCCTTCCCATATTACTGCCACAATATGGATGCTGTCTGCATTTACAACAGTTTTATAGGTCATACTGGACCAGGGGCCGGCAGCCCACGGCCCTTGAATGCCCCCCCCCCCCCCCCCCCCCCCCCCCTTTGCGGCTCCCTGGAGCTTTTTCAAAACTGTATAAAAAATGGAAAAAGATGGATTTTATTTTTATTTATTTAAAGATGGATTTTACATTTTTTATGGCTACAATTTAGCTCCGTACTTTTGACCAATAAAATGGTTTCTACCGTCCAGCAGACCAATAGAAATGAGTCTTCACTACTCAACTACCCAGAAGTAAAGAAAATGTGGTCTGGAAAATGCAAATCGAAAAGATTGTAATTCATAAAACTAAATCTGAAAAACTGAAGTTTAAATTAAAAATCTGTAAATACAAAAAAAATATTTAAAAAGGAAATAAAAAAAGAAAATCTATTGCATTTTATTTCCATAGAAATTAAACTTTGAAACACAAAGCGATTTTCAAAACCTAAAATTCTTATTTCTGGATTGCTTTTTTCTAACTTCAATTTACATAATATGTTTTTTTTTTTTGTTTTTGTTTTTTTATTCAAAAGCATATTCTTTTCTTGATAATAGGTCAATACAGTTTCAAATATATATTTATGTATTTTCAGCTTGTGTGGCTCTTATTTAGTTCCATACAGGTTTGACTAAAATTCGTCCAATAAGCTGAATTTGTCCAGTTATGTAGAGCAGTGTTTCCCCACCTTGACTAATTCTTTGGACACTTTGTCTTTCCATGAGTGAAAAACAGTGGATCCCTTCTGTTTTCTACATCCAGACTCTGCTTGGTTTAGATCGATGTCACAGCTGAAGGTGAACTCAAAGAATAAATTACTGTTTGGTTGATAAAAGCTTCCTAATCTATTAGGTATCTCCTCATAAAGCAGAATAGATCCCTGCCCTATTTTATTTTACTACCTAAGAAATAAAATATTCTAATGTACCCTTTGCAATGCATTAGCGGACCACTAGGGGGACGCACACACTTAAGGGAAAACTTAAGGGAAAAGGTTCTCTGCAGATTTTTCCAGAGGAACGGTTCTGTTTCCGGCTGTTAGATAATAATAATAATCCCTCATGGTGATTATCTGACCACTTGTCAACTTGTCATCATGATTTAACACTTGACCTCCATTCAAGTCGTCGTTCCTTCGCTGTTAAGTAAGTGAAACCATGACCACTGAGGACTCCTTCTGAGACTAAACACATTTTATTCTAGAGCCAATCAGATGCAGAGGTTCCTGTTCTCCCTGGTAGGCATTCCTGCTTCACTTTACTTCTCATTCTGCTCTGCATCAAACATGTTATATAACTGCTTTTTTCCTGTTAAATTAGCTCTGCATGCTTTATAAAGAACTAAGCTGTGAAATTCATCCAGCTTTGCATTATCACTTCTGTGTCACTGAATTATTTTGCAGCTGAGATGAGCAGATTGGTGCTTGAACTGTTGAATGTGCAGCAGAGGAACAGGAATCCTCTGAGGGCAGCCAGATGGTGAATGAAAGGAGGTCTTCGTTAGCTGGCAGGTGGAGGTCGCTGGTGGAGCTCGGCCTTCAGGAGAAGCAATCTATACTGATGCAATAATGAACAAAGGAAACGGCTCACTCAGCCAAAATGCAGGAAAGATAATGAAGTTTTAACAACAAAACAGCCTGAAATGTTAGTTTTTTGGCTCATGAAGTATACAGGAGAACATTCAGTGGTTCAGTTGGTGTTTTTTTTTTTTTTAGGTTTCAGATTGACTAATCTGAATTCTATTCTGCGTTCAGGCCTTTCGCCAACGACTGCAGTATTTCTGTTTGATCCTTTTAGTTTTTTGAGTGTTAAATCATCGTCCTTTGAGATAAAATACTGCTTCCCTTTTAGTTTTCTTCTGAAATGTCTGTATGAAAGGAAAGAAAAAATGTTGAAACACCTTTTGGGACTTTCTGCCCATATATTTTTCTAAAAAAAAGAAAAAAAAGCCATTGTCCACCATAGCTGGATCTAAACAGAGCCGCCATGTTTCTTTCCTTTTCCAGGACTCATCTGGCCCCTAAAGCCCCACCAGCCCGTTATCATGAACTACCTTCGCCGGCGCCTGTCAGACAGCAGCTTCGTAGCCAACCTTCCCAACGGCTACATGATGGATCTGCAGAGGCCGGCCCCCACTGGTTCCTCTACTTCGTCTCCCGCCTCCCCCGCCACAGAAAGGCGTCAGCCGCCCACCCTCCCGAGTCAGACCCAGAGTTCAGCTCCAGGCCCGGCCTCGGTGCCGGCCTCAGCAGGAGGGAGCTTCCTCAGCTCCTTCTCCAGCGTGGTGAAGAGCGCACAGATGGCCCAGAACGTCGCAGCCGCCGCACACGCTAAGGCGGCCGCAGACACAGCGGCTGAAGGGGCCCCAGCAGGAGCCACGCAGCCTGCCAAGCCTGTGATACGCAAACCCAAGATCCTGCTGGTGATCGATGATCAGCACACTGACTGGTGAGTGCAACTTCAGGAGGTCACCATAAATAACACTAATTAATGAAACAGTCGCCTGCAGAAACAGATCTAGTTTTTATGCTCTTCGTTGAGCAGAAAAATATAAAGCAGGAAAACAGAGAAATAGTTTAGATCAGAATTCATACAAAACAACTAATTACTCGGGTAAAATTTGTGAGCCGGCAAAGAATTTCAAACTTTCAATACTTTTCTATGTCAATTTTAAAATATCTCTCTGGGTTTAAATAATTCGTATCCTTAAGAAACAGCATATTTGAAGAAAGTCATTTTAAAATAGATCAGAAACCTACAATATGCCCCTAAAAGATCATTAAACCTCCTGATTAACTTAAAAAGAAGCAAAAAAAAAAAAAGGAGAAACCATCCAGCTGACATAAAATCTGTTAAAAGCTGCAGCTTTAATCCATGCAACGAGTTCCTAAATTATTCATGGGACTTTGGTGGCCAGGTAACCCCAAGCAGAGGAGAAATAAACACACAGATCTGAAAGAAATTACTCCCAGTAGAAAGAAACAAAGTAAATTTACTTTACTTAAGTATTTTTGTTTTGAGTATCGTTGCTTTACTTGAGTTATTTTGGGGGGAAACTCCATTTTATGGAGGGAAAGAGTATTATATAAAAAGATCACATTCAGTGTAGACCCAACAGGCCGGTAGCAGACCCCACAGGCCGGTAGCAGACCCAACAGGCCGGTAGCAGACCCAACAGGCAGGTAGCAGACCCAACAGGCCGGTAGCAGACCCAACAGGCCGGTAGCAGACCCAACAGGCCGGTAGCAGACCCAACAGGCCGGTAGCAGACCCAACAGGCCGGTAGCAGACCCAACAGGCCGGTAGCAGACCCAACAGGCCGGTAGCAGACCCAACAGGCCGGTAGCAGACCCAACAGGCCGGTAGCAGACCCAACAGGCCGGTAGCAGACCCAACAGGCCGGTAGCAGACCCAACAGGCAGGTAGCAGACCCAACAAGCCGGTAACAGACCCAACGGGCCGGTAGCAGACTCAATTGGCCCGTAGAAAACCCAACAGGCCGGTAGCAGACCCAACAGGCCGGTAGCAGACCCAATGGCCGGTAGCAGACCCAATGGCCGGTAGCAGACCCAATGGCCGGTAGCAGAACTAACGGGCCTGTAGAAGACCCAACGGGCCGGTAGCAGACCCAACAGGCCGGTAGCAGACCCAACAGGCCGGTAGCAGACCCAACAGGCCGGTAGCAGACCCAACAGGCCGGTAGCAGACCCAACAGGCCGGTAGCAGACCCAACAGGCCGGTAGCAGACCCAACAGGCAGGTAGCAGACCCAACAAGCCGGTAACAGACCCAACGGGCCGGTAGCAGACTCAATTGGCCCGTAGAAAACCCAACAGGCCGGTAGCAGACCCAACAGGCCGGTAGCAGACCCAATGGCCGGTAGCAGACCCAATGGCCGGTAGCAGACCCAATGGCCGGTAGCAGAACTAACGGGCCTGTAGAAGACCCAACAGGCCGGTAGCAGACCCAACAGGCCGGTAGCAGACCCAACAGGCCGGTAGCAGACCCAACAGGCCGGTAGCAGACCCAACAGGCCGGTAGCAGACCCAACAGGCCGGTAGCAGACCCAACAGGCCGGTAGCAGACCCAACAGGCCGGTAGCAGACCCAACAGGCAGGTAGCAGACCCAACAAGCCGGTAACAGACCCAACGGGCCGGTAGCAGACTCAATTGGCCCGTAGAAAACCCAACAGGCCGGTAGCAGACCCAACAGGCCGGTAGCAGACCCAATGGCCCGTAGCAGACCCAATGGCCGGTAGCAGACCCAATGGCCGGTAGCAGAACTAACGGGCCTGTAGAAGACCCAACGGGCCGGTAGAGGACCCAACGGGCAGATAGCAGACCCAACGGGCAGGTAACAGACCCAACGGGCCGGTAGCAGACCCAACAGGCCGGTAGCAGACTCAATAGGCCGGTAGCATACCCAACAAGCTGGTAGCAGACCCAACGGGCCGGTAGCATACCCAACAGGCCGGTAGCAGACCCAACGGGCCCGTAGAAGACCCATCGGGCCGGTAACAGACCCAACAGGCTGGTAGCAGACCCAACGGGCCCGTAGAAGACCCAACGGGCCCGTAGAAGACCCAACGGGCCAGTAGAAGACCCAACGGGCCGGTAGCAGACCCAACAGGCCGGTAGCAGACCCAGCGGGCCGGTAGCAGACCCAACGGGCCGGTAGAAGACCCAACGGGCCGGTAGCAGACCCAGCGGGCCGGTAGCAGACCCAACAGGCCGGTAGAAGACCCAACGGGCCGATAACAGACTCAACGGGTCGGTAGAAGACCCAACGGGCCGGTAGCAGACCCAGCGGGCCCGTAGAAGACCCAACGTTCCCGTAGAAGACCCAACGGGCCGGTAACAGACTCAACGGGCCGATAACAGACTCAACGGGCCGGTAGCAGACCCAACAGGCCGGTAGAAGACCCAACGGGCCGATAACAGACTCAACGGGTCGGTAGCAGACCCAACAGGCCTGTAGAAGACCCAACGGGCCGGTAGCAGACCCAACGGGTCCGTAGAAGACCCATCGGGCCGGTAACAGACCCATCGGGCCGGTAGCAGACCCAACGGGTCCGTAGAAGACCCATCGGGCCGTTAACAGACCCATCGGGCCGGTAGCAGACCCAACAGGCAGGTAGCAGACCCAACGGGACGGTAACAGACCCAACGGGCCGGTAGCAGACCCAACAGGCCCGTTGAAGACCCAACGTTCCCGTAGAAGACTCAACGGGCCGGTAACAGACTCAACGGGCCGGTAACAGACTCAACGGGCCGGTAACAGACTCAACGGGCCGGCAGCAGACCCAACAGGCCGGTAGAAGACCCAATGGGCCGATAACAGACTCAACGGGTCGGTAGCAGACCCAACAGGCCTGTAGAAGACCCAACGGGCCGGTAGCAGACTCAACGTGCCGGTAACAGACAGAGCAGCCAGGTAACAAACTGAACAGGCTGAACATCTGGTCTGGTCTTGCGGTCTGGTTTGGTCCAGGGTCCTCCATTAAAGTTAGTTTGGTCTCTCTAATTAATAATTAATTGCAGCATGTAATATTTACACAAAGTGCAGCTTGTGCTGAAATGGGCTGGAGGAGTAAAGGAGAATGAGGAGGAATATTTATTTACTGCCAGCAGGGACAGCATCATTCTGCAGCTCTGGGAAAGAAACTTTTCCTGATTCTAGTTGTTTCTAATCAGAGGTGGGTAGAATATCCACTTAAGATGGTGTAGCACTACTTAATCATATTTTTACTCCAGTAAAAAGTAGTTGTGTAAACAGCATCTCAGTAACTGATCTACTGACTACACAAAGACATAGGTAATCACAGGCATTTCTAAGCCCAGGATAAAAAAAAAAAAGTTTGTTGAGAGATGAGTGTCTGATCTTTCCTCATGGAAGCTCATCTTTATGGGAACAGAGCAGAACATCCCGTCATGGTGGATGGGTTAGGGCCTAGCAGGGAGGCTGTCTGTGCCAAAATGGGAGTTGCCATGGTAACGGGGAGGAGAGAACTTTGCCTTTTAGGTGACAGAAAAATGCATGAGGTTAAATGAGAGGCGCTTCGTTGATCAGTGGAGCTCCAAACGTCTGATTGATGGATTTCCAGAGATCAGGTCAAAGCTTTCAGCTCTTCACGCCGTTAGGATGAATTCTAATGTTTCCTGAAAGACTGGCTTCACTAAGCTGGTTATGAGCTGTTTACAGTAGTTTGACTTAATCTCTGCTCCAGCAGGGATCCCTGCCAGCAGCAGCAGCGCCCCCTGTGGGCAGGCCAGGTCAGTGCAGGTAATTGATCTCAATGAAAGCGTCTCGCCTTCAGACCAATCTAAACCTCCCACATTACCCAGGATCATTTTAAAGGAATTTATTTTCCTTTTTTCTGGAATGATCAGAATTCATCCCTCTGCAAACGATCCCCGACGGTTCATCAAGTGTGAACATGTCACCCCCTACTGGTGGAGAGTAGAACTACAGTTAGTAATAAAATCTAGGATTTCTTGTTTTTTAAAGTTCCTTTGAAATTGTTAATAATTGGTGTGGACAATAAAATCTTTTCTAAGTTTGTTTTGTGTAAAATGTCTTAGAAGAGAACAATAATTTAAGGTTAACTGTTTTTCTGCCATTTTAGTGAAATAAGCTCAAGCAGACGGTGAAAGAGTTTGTGCAAATTGGGCAATGATGAGAAAATTAAAGGTTTTAGTCGTTTTATTCAAACAGTTTTTCCACGGTTTTTGGGTTTAATCAGGTTGGAAGTTATGTGTTCAACCAAACTCTGGTTAAACCAACCAATCTAATTTGGCAAAGTTTTTACCCAATCTACATTTTTACTAGGGCAAACAATATATATTAGTCACATTAGCCAAAATACTTAAGTATAATCGCAACTTTCAAGTCTAAACCATCAATCTCAGGAGTGAAAGTCAGTGTCTTACAGCTGACGCCAACTGACAGCAATACTACTTAACAGTAATGCTGAAACTGTGTCCAGCGGCTTGCTCCGATTTTGATCATTACATTGTTTAATCGAACTAAAATAGTTTTAACCAACTAGATTGGTTGTTTTTCCAGCCAGTCTATTCTTAGAATCTATCCAACTGACAGCAGCTCTCCTCCACAATCCGACATCCGAACTGAATGGTGAGGCTGTTTAAATGCCTGTCGAAGTTTGGGGCGAGCTGAACCGCTTCCTGACGCGGTCACATGGTATCAGGATAGCGAGGCTTCAGACGTCATCAATTTTGGCCCCTCCCCTAAATGAAACGCCCCCTCCATTGCTCGACGCACGCCTGGGAGCCTTGGTTCCTCTCATAGCATCACTGCTCTTCACCAACCGATGTTTGTGAAATGAGCCATTAATCATGCTTGTAGCTACAGTGGAGAGGAAAAACTCCCTTTGAACAGGAAGAAACCTCCAGCAGAACCAGGCTCAGTGAAAATGGCTCATCGGTGGA